GGGTCTTCTGCCTGAACAAATTATACTTTAATGAGACAACCGTATTAGTATTTCATGTAGGACCAAACATTTTCAGCATAATAGAAGATTTTGAGATCTAAGAGCGTTGGATTTAGGAAAAAGTGATGTAACCTTCAGTTTAAAATTCTTGCTTTAAAAAATAAGCCTGTAAATAATTAGCTATCATGTTCTATTATTGAGTTGTCTTATCTTTTAATTTCCTGGGAGGCAATTTTATTTCCCAATGCAAAACCACAGTAAAGTCACTTGTCTATTAAGAAGAAAACGGTGAGTCTTTTCAGGGGTTTTGCTTTGCTTCAGCCACCAGTCACCTGAGGGAAGGGTGGGTGTGTCGTGATGAGCTGTATTTAACACCGAAGCCTCACAGAGTCAAGAGATAAGAGATGAGTGATGTTCAGGAGGAGAGATACCACCAAAACCTAAAGAAACAACAATGGCGGAACTCAATTCTGCACTCTGGGTCCTGTGTCTGAAGCCTCTGTCATCCCCTGGATGCTGTCACTTCTGCAGTTATGTGATTTTTGTCACAAAGGGATGGTGGCATGAGTGTGTGGCTGCTTACACATCCTGGGAAGATACTAGCCTTCTTGATTCTCTGGTGATTGAGAGGACCAATTAAAAAAGTCTGCCGGACCTTTACGGGGGAACGCATTCCTGTGAACGATTGGGAGCTGAATACCGGAGATTTTTCCATTCCTTTGTATAATTAGAACACCACTGACTAGATTTCCAATTCTCAGGTGTCCCTCAGATTTTGCACATAGAGCCAGCATTCTCAGGAACTTTGCAAGTACCCATTGCCTTTAATTACATGGAATTCCAAAGAGGGATCTTAAAAAGTTGTGATGGGTGCACATTTGACTTCCAATGTAATAACTAGAATAAACACCAGAAAAGGAAAGGTATTTTCCAAAGCCCAAAGCTTCATTGAGTGATGACTGTGTCAAGTCCACTGGTTTTTATTCATTTAACTAAGATGGCTAAGAAACATTAACATAGTGGAGGGTTCTTCTGCTGAGAACAATGTCCTGTGTCCCATTGTGTAAATGCAGGACTTTCCCTTGTGAAAGCCCAATAATCTTAGCTTTCCAAATACACCAAGAAATATATGTTGTTTTGGGTTACAGGCACTGCAAAAACAGCAGACCAAAACACCCAGGAGAACTGGGCAGAGAAAGGGTTGAACTTGGTTAGCCTGCAGCCCTGGTGCAGAGTGACATGGTACCCTAGCAAGCCTCCCTCCCGACTCCCAGTCCTGCTGTCCTGATGACAAGGCTCCCCTGCCCAGCCCTTCACACTGGTCCACCGGATGTGTTAAGAGGAACTCAGCTCCAAGTTAGGAACACAGCTGCAGAAACATGGTGATGTTTTTAAAATTAACTTTGGTCCATAGACATGCCATCAGAGGCAGATTCTTCCAGATGTCAATCGTTCACTTCTGTGTGCATTTGCGAGAATGAAACACGCTGATTAAGTGGGTTAATTGGTCTCGTGTGTATTCATTATGAACGCTGTCTCAGTAATGAAGTGGTCAGATAAAGAGCCAACCGATTTCTTCCTTGGTGTCCCTTATTGGTAGTTCTGAACATGGCCAACATCTCACTGGGCATCTTGACGCGCATCACACAACTAAATAGACGGGAGTCCTCTATACACACTGTTTGAGTAAGCCACCATTGTCTTTCTCACTCCCATCTTCAGCCAAACAAATTGGGCTTCATGACTTGTTCACACCAGCCAAATACGTTCGTACATGTGTGTGACCCTCGCAACCAGAAGATGCTGACCTCCTGATCTTCACTCTCTCTCTCTGGAATTCTCAGGGGACATGACGAAGGAATGCCTTTCAGGTGACCATGTCTTCCCAGCCACTTAAGTTCATGTGCCACATTACTGCAAATAACACTAATCTGAGAGAGATTTTTACTTAAAACACATTACAGCAAGGGAATGTAAGTTAAAATAAGAACTAGTTTAAAAACTTATTATAACATCTTTTAAATTAATTTGATTTTTAAAATGTGCATATATGTCTGTGCACCATATGTGTACATGCCTGGTCCCCTGGAAGCCAGGAGAGGACATTGGATACCCTGGAACTTGAGTTACAGAAAGTTGTCTGTATCTATTGTGGATGTTGAGCTCCAAACCTGGGTCAGTGCTCTTAATCTCTCCAGTTGTGTAACAAACTATTTTAAATTACACCATTATACCTAGGTTCAGAAAAGATGCACATGACATTCTGATATTGGGGGAAGCAAATTTTTAATTTTTTACTTTATTATTAGTATTATCGCTGTTATCATCATCATTATGGAGTCAATTCTTTCCTTTCACCATGTAAGTCCCAAGGATGAAACTCAGGTCGCCAGGCTTAGCAGCAAGCACCTTTACCCACTGAACCATCTCACTGGCCCATGATGCCCAAACTTTCTTGAATCAGAAGCCATTACGTAGTGGCTCAGCCAGTTGCTTCTGTCAGCTCTTCTGGTTCACCCTTTAGTCTCTGCGGTGGAGTCTGTGAGACCCTTCGCTTCCTTTTATTTTAGATTCTAACCCCCCCCCCAAAAAAGTGCTTACAATGCAAAATCTGAAATCTGTGTCTTTACAGTACTGAGGACTAATGAAATGGTAGCCTGTATCTCCCCAAAATAATCTCACTGACGTCTGCCTGCTGGTGCCATCCTCACAGCATTCCTAATAACTCAAGCTCAGTGTGAAGGCTGAATCAATTCATCGCAAGTGTTAGCAAATTAGAAAAAACACTGGGTATAAATCCTCTGTGAGCCCCATGGCCTTTGCCAAGATAGCAAATACTTAAACCACTAAGTAAAACTTGACAGTGATGAAGGTTCTGTAAGGATGGACCAAACGCCGCAATCAATTGCTCTTATCTGTCGTTTCTTAAAATGGATAAAGTACTGCCTTCATGAGTTGTTGGTTTTGGTGTGTGTGTAAAACGAGGTACATACTGGGGTTCCAGCCCAGGGTCCACACATGGCAGCTAAGTGCTCTATGGCTAAGTTACATCTCCAGCCTGATATCGCTTCTGCATTCTCATGGGTAAAGTTGAGTCTAATTTTAAGTCTAGATCTGTTCAGAAACATTAATTAGGGACCACTGCATAGGGAGTAGCCCCTGAGGTCTTAGAGAGAAGTTGGTCCTTCCACACCAAAGACATGTTAACATGGATGGCGAGGAGGGGCTCACCAGGCTTCAGTCCTACACAGAGAACTACAGAGAACTAAGGGATGTTGAGAGAAGGAGAAGTCCTCTTGTCCTCAGGGAAGAACACACCAGCTGGCTATCCAGTACCAAACGGTCAACACTGAAAACAGTATGCAGACTGAGCAGGTGACATACGTATATTTTATGTATATTAACTATGTGTACACAGATTTAATATGAGAGCAAGAAGGGCTATATGGGAGGGATTGGGGGGAAAGAAAGGGAGAAACTATGTAATTATAATCTAAAACAAGTAATTAAAAAAAGAACAATTAAAAAACTGAAAAAGAAAGAAAGCAAGCAAGAAAAACAGAAATCTTTCTTGACCCTGCCTCACACCACCCACCTCAGGAAATCTCAAGAACCTTACAGGAGCCCTGGGCTCCCTCACTCACCACCTCTAGCCCTGAGGGCTCTGGGTATTTACAGCTCTACCCTGCCTGCCCTGCCCTTGACCCTACTGGAGTCTCTTTAGGTTGCCAGGAGACTCTTTGAAAACACGTGACAGGACTCACCACAAGAAGGCTACCTCCGACTCACTTTCAGGAAGTCCCAAATTCTTCCTGTGCCATCGTTGGTGACCCTACATAGTCACCGCCTGGCCTCTCTGAGCTCTTCTTCCTACATCTGTGAGTCAGCCTGTATCTGCCACCCTGGTCTCTTTGTCCCCCTACCCATGGCAGAAACCTTGTCCTGGCCAGTACCTCTGCTGGAAGCATCCATCCAGGCCTTACTGGGCACAGTGTCACTCACATCTTTCATGTCTCTGATCAAATGTCCCCTTCTCACTAAGGGGCTATCTGACCTCCCATTAAATCCTCAGCCTCTTTACTCCCTGGGGCCATCTGGCCTCCTTACTCAGCTCTCCTCTTTTCCTGGGATCTCCATCTTTTGATTTACTAGACAGCAGGCATATGGCATTCACTTTGTTCCTCTCTTCACTGGATGGGAGGCTTCACAAAGGGAACACGTTTTCTGTGTTGTTTGTAGCCCCCTGTCCACACAGGACCCGTAGAAAATGAGTGCTGCTGAGTGGATAAGTGTAGACAGATCCCAGAAAGCAGGTGACAGGACAGATCTTTAAGTCTTGATGCTGTTAGTGTATGACCAACCTTTGTTCTTTCAAATCTCTTCCTCCTTTGCTCTTACACTGACAATAAGGATCTGGAGAGAGTCGAAAGCATAAAGAAATAAGCATTAAAAAGGGCTTCACTTGGAGAGTGAATCTGTGAAATGGGTGTCAAGGTGGCAAGGTGACCTTCAACCTTGAAGTTAGCCAAGGTTTCACGAAATTATAACAGTGTTGACAAAAGAACAGAGAAAAACACCATCAGCAAATGCAATCCTTAGGGAAAATAATCAGTGGGTCAAAAGCAGTAAAACATTTAAGAATTGATTTGTGGGAATGTACCTTACAAGTGGATGGGAGAGGAGAAAAAGCTAAATGGACAAAGATTTTCTTCCGTTTGTGCTTCTTAGAGCAAAATTTGGAGTCAGGAATGGTGGCACATGCCTGTAAGCCCAGCACTTCAGAGGCAGAGTTCAAGGCCACGCTTGAGGCCAGCCTGGGCTACTTATTTGTTTGTTTATTTTGTGGAGAAAAAGATTCAAGAAAATCAAAGACAGTGCAAGACTTGAAAACAACTTGGGTAATTGACAATAAGAACATAATCAAACTGAGTTTCATCACCTTGATCTATTTTAATGACTCACTAATAGATTAACCACATGGACAATTTTAATGTGATGCTATAATAATTCCATGCTTTTTACTTTAGGGGAAAGGATGGGAAGGAAGTAGATCATACATAAACAGATGCAAAGAACTCATAACCTTGGCTTTCTGACTAAAAGGAACTCATCCTTCTGGAAGCCCCAGGAATTCTAAGTATACAGGCACCCAGTGGCCTCCCCTGAGACCCCAGAGTTTGGAGAACACTTATAAACTTGGCCCCTGAAGGACCCTCACACCAATCACATAGAACATGAATAGAAACAAATGTTTAAAGTAGAGCTGGGAGAAGAGGCCTGCTTTGAAAAAGTGGTAGAGCCCTAAGAAGATACTGTGAGAATCACACCATGCAACACACACAGCTCCCAGGTTCTTCCAGGAGCCTTGACCCTAAGCTGGGAGTCTGGCAGACTCCACAGGTGAGCTTCAGTGTGAGCTATCAAGGTCCAGATCCAGAACGACAACCAAAAGAGCCAAGGGAGAAAAGGAAGGCCAGGGGACCCGAGGAAATTCTCCAAAGGATGAGTCCAGCTGGCACACAAGGGTGGAGCCACCATGATGTTCTGTGGAGGCCACAGCACAGATACAACAGAGAGTCGGTGAGATGGCGAAATGGTTAAAGACACTTACCTTGCAAACCTGGAAACCTAAGTTCAAAAACCACATAAAGGAGGAAGGAGAGAACCAACTCCACAAGAAGTTGTCCTCCGTACTAGGCTTTTCTTTTGGGCCACCAACCAGCTCCCAAATCATGACACAAAGACTTCTTATTAGTTACAAATGCTCGGCTTTGTGTTATGCTCGTTTCTGGCTAGCTCTTTTAACTTAAATTAACCTGTTTCAGTGCTTTTTACCTTTTCTTTCTGTATGTCCTACTCTGCGTCTGCTGTCTGTGGCTGCCTGGCTGGCCCCTGGGCGTCTCTCTCTCTCTTCCTCCGTCGTTCTCTCTTCTTTCTTCTCTCTCTTTCTTTCTCTGTTTATCAACTCTGCCTATGAACCCTGCCTATCCTTTTCCTGCTTGGCTGTTGACCATTCCGTTTTTTTATTAAGCCAGTCAAGTACCTTAGACAGGCAAGGTGAAACAGCAGCACATCTTTAAATAACTGAACAATTGCAACACATCTTCATCATTAACAACAGCAGCAGAAACAAATGCGACACACCTTTACACAGGTAAGGTAGCATTCTGCAGCATAAACAAATGTAACACATCTTTGCCCAGCTAAAATAATATTCCACAACACCTTTGATTTCTACACTCTCTCACATGCGTGTATCATGAGCTTATACACACATGTATGGCTATGTGCTTCTCTCTCTCTCTCTCTCTCTCTCTCTCTCTCTCACACACACACACACATACACAATTTTTGGTTTTGAGTGTTTTTTTTTTTTTTTTTTTTTTTTGGTTTTTGAGACAGGGTTTCTCTGTGGCTTTGGAAGCTGTCCTGGAACTAGCTCTTGTAGATCAGGTTGGTCTTGAACTCACAGAGATCCACCTGCCTCTGCCTCCTGAGATTAAAGGCGTGTGCCACCACCGCCTGGCCAATTTTTGGTTTTAAAAGAAAGAAACAGCAGTGATTCTTCTACAGTACCAGTGGTCTTTGACCAAGAAAAACAAAGGATTTTGTCAATGTGAATTACCTAACAAATGCCTTCTCCAAGTTTTGATTTAGCATTTGCTCCATCAAATTCAGCTTACAGTACTGACCGCAGGGCATTCTGTGGGTCTTCAGAGATCTTACATGCTTAAATCTGTTTAAGCACAAAATCAGGAAACCATCTCTCTCCTGACAAACATGCAGTCCCCTGCCCCAGATCTTTCTGTGTAAGGGCTCCCACATGACAGGCAAGTCGACGACTACTGAGTCACATGTCACATGTCCAACCCAAAGCATGCTGAGCTATATGGTAGAAGTGTCTCCTGGCTCCTGTGACTTGTCAAAATAAAACTTTCCTATAAATAACATGTGTCTTCTAAGGACACAAAAGTGTAGTTGCAAACATGGATTTTTAAAACCAAAAATGGCTGAAAGGCTCAATTTTACAGCTAAGTATTTGCAGGAGAACACATTTTGAACCTTTCCATGACTAGCTATTATGTAGTTTACTTACTCATTTGTGCATGTTTGTTTGTGACAGATGGCCCTAGATAGCCCAGGCTAATCCCAAACACAGGATTCCTTTGCCTCTGACTTCCAAGTACTCAGATTAGAGCTATAAACCACTATGCCCAACCTTGTCATATGTTCTTTTTTAAATCAAATAGAATTCTACAGTGTGATTTGTATACAGCTGTAGGTTTGATCTTCATTGAGCCTAAGAAGATAAAAGGCTTATTTTGGTGTTTTGCTTCAGTAACATTTCAGGGAAATAGGATGACCTGGGTTTTGGCTATAAAATTGTGGGAAATTAGTGTTGGGGCATCTAACAGGCCCTCTGTCTTGTTTACTTAGTAGTTTAAAAATAGAACCATGTAGGCTTCTGCCCTTGGGTCTCTCTAATGAGCTCTGATTTCATTTTTTGTCTTGAACCACCAAGGGGAATTTTATGGTTTTTGTTTTAACCTTTCAGTGTTGAAATCGAGCACACACAAAAGGGAATATACAAAACAAAAATGCACAGCACAGTAATAAGAAATATATAGCCACCACAAAGGTCAATAAATAGAAGTTGCCAGCACCCCAAAAAGCCTTGTCACCACCCCCACCAATACCACACAGCCTCTCTTGTCACCACCCCCACCAATACCACACAGCCTCTCTTGTCACCCCATCCCAGCAGTGTGACTTCCAGGCCAGTCACTGCTTTACCCCAATTATCGCTTCTCAGAGGAGACTTCCAATATCACGGCTCAGTGTTGATGTCCTTATTGACATAACTGGAAACGTAATATGAAGTCTTTGGTAATTGGATAATTCCTAATAGCAAATCTAGATGTGTTCAATCCAGTGATTTCACTCTCAGTTTATGAACTTTTCACATGTCTATAGTTGGTCTGTGACCACATCACACTTTGGCAATTCTTCTCTCCAAGGGCATTTAGGTTTTCTATTTTATCTTATTTTCCTTGATTAAAATTGTGGTCGTGTGTCTTTTCACATACTGTGGGTCATCTGAAAATTTTTTGGAACCATGGTTTTTTTTTTTTGTTGGTGTTTTTGTTGTTGTTGTTGTTGGTGGTGGTGTTCTTTGACTCAAAGTCTTACTATGTAGCCCAGGTTATCCTCATATCCATTCTCCTCCCATTTCTACCTCCCAAGTGCTGGGTATTCATGCTTGTACCAACCAGAAATATTTTAAGCCATCATTTTTTTTTACTTTTTTAAAAACATGAAGTCTTATTATTTAGCCCAGGCTGGCCTCAAACTCATTATCTTCCCGCTTAGCTTGAGCTGTCCTCAAACCAATGCTCCTCCTGCTCCTACCCACTGGAACTGTGAGCTTGGGCCACCGTACCCAACCAAAAATATTTTGAACCACCTTTAAATATCCTTTTGAGATTTTATTGATTTTTGCTTTGTGTGCATCAGTGTTTTGTCTACATGTATGTCTGTGCACCACACACATGCAGTGACCATGGAGGCCAGAACAGAACAGCAGGTCCTCTGGAACTGGAGTTACAGACAGTTGTAACCCACACCATGTGGGTGCTGGGAACTGAACCTGGGTCCTCTAGAAAAGCATCCAGTCCACCTAACTGCTGAGCCACCTCTCCAGCTCCTTCAGCCACCACTGGCTGTCCTGGAACTCACTCTGTAGACCAGGGTGGCCTTGAACTCACAGAGATCCACCTGCCTCTCTGCTGCTGCCTTCTGTGCTAGGATTAAAGGTGTGGGCCACCACAGCTAGGCTTCTTGGGCCATTTTTTAAAACTCATCTTTTGGAACAAAGAAAAGGCCTTAGATTCTCCAGGAGTCCACACTGCCCACACCTTGATCTTAGTTCAGTGAAGCCATATTGGACTTGTGAGTCCAGTGTGAGATGAGTGGCCCTCACTGTCTTCCAGCACCAAATGTGAGAAAATTTGTTACATTAACAAGAAGAAATCATTTTGATTATAAAAGTTATTTTTTTTCAGCCGGGTGTTGGTGGCGCACGTCTTTAATCCCAGCACCCGGGAGGCAGAGGCAGGTGTATCTCTGTGAGTTCAAGATCAGCCTGGTCTACAGAGGGAGTTCCAGGACAGCCTCCAAAACTATATATGTATATATATATGTATATATATACACATATATATATGTATGTATATATAGTTTTCAAACTGAAGTCTATTTTCCCGTGATAGCACATCCAGCTCCTAAGAATATAATTTGATGAGTTTTGAAAAATGCCTACAGTTATAAAACCAACCCCTCGACTCAAGATAGAGAACATTTTTACTACTCCCTAAACTCTCCTCCTACTCCTCCCAACACCAATCCAGGGAAGTATTTGTTTTGTTTCTAGTGTCCACATTTGTATTGCCTCTTGGGAAACTTCAAATAAATGAATCACACAGTATCTACTCTGTGCTTGACAAGAATGTCAAATTCGAATTGAAAGATTCCAGGACAAATCCTGGTTCTTCCACTCACCAGCATCACGAAGGTCATCCTTTCAGAGATAGTAAACTGCTCCCTCACACCCTGTCACAAAGAGCACAGATGAAAAAAAAAGCATACTTGTTTTGTTATTTTTGAAATGGTACACTCTTACAAACACTCATTTCCAACTCAAAACACAAATCAGATGCTCACACTTTGGGCAATGAGATAATGAGTGATTCTTCATTTCAAAACATTTTTCTATGTTTCCCAAATTCACACATTAACATCGGAGCTTCTGAAATAGAGAGATTTTCATAGCAAATCAGCACAGGAGTATTTATTCTATTTTATATCACGTTTTCCAGCTTTACTGAGGTATAATGAAAAGAAAACCCCACATATTTAGAGTGTACAGCATGATGTTTTCATTTACAACACAAGCTGCCATGAATAAGCTACTTAGCATATGTCATCCCGCATAGCTGCTACTCTCTCTGTATGTGAACATTCACAATCTATCCGCACCGAATTTGAAGTACACCACCACACATTTACTAAGGACTGTCAGCACGTGAGGAGCTAGCTCTGCAAAACCCAACCTGTGATGGACCCTGCACACTCCAACACTTCTGGTTTCCCCATTCTCCTGTTCCTCCTCCTCCCCATCATCCTCTGTTTTCACGACTGTGGCTGCTCTACATCCCTTATGGATGTGAGCTTGTGTCCTATTCCACTCAGCACAATAGCTTCCACATTCATCCATCTTCTTGAAACTTAGGAATTTGTTTCATTGTTTTGTTTTCACCTTGGGAAGGGTCTTGTTATTGTACACAGCCAAGATTGGCCTAAAACTCAAGACCTTCAAATCCACTCTTCCAGGCTTTGGGACATCGTGTTTTTTTTTTTCCCTCTTTTTAAAAAAGGCTGAACAAGTTGTTTTCTTCTATTAGACATTTAGATGAGAGAATTCATGTTTTAGCTTTTTTCAGATAACAATTTCAAATATGTTTCTGTGCAAACCATGGATAGAATGATGTCCACTTCTAAGAGATACCATCAAATATTGACTAAATGAAAACTTCCCTCTGTAATTTATCAAGTGTGATTGCTGGCCATCCATCATAGACTTAGTACTGCAAAGTGGCAGAGATGTCCGTGGCTGCCACAAATGGAGGGCAGCATGGGTAGAGGAGAAAGACAGACGCTAGGTGCAAGGAAGCAAGAGGACGCCTCTTCCTGGAAGGGGCTGTCTGTAGTCTTCCTCTCGCCATCTAAAAAGAGGAAGAAAGCATAACAGCAGAAGTTAGACAGAGGCAAATCGTCGCCAAGAAGGGTAGCAGGCAGTAGCTCAAAGCCTTAAGAGAATGTCCCCCAGACAAGCTCCAACTCTGCTCCCAGGCGGAGGTCAGTGCAATGAAAGCCAGCACAAATGGGGGTTGAGGCAGTAGTAGTGCACTTACTGGGTGGTTACTACTCATTAGGCACTGCGTGAGTCCGTTATAAACATCCAGGAACACAAACGGAAGGGCAGGGTTCCAGGCAGAACCAAGAGGGAGATTTGCATGGTCACAGCATTCTGCATTCCCTCACGGAAGGGAATGGTGTTGCACCAGACATGCCATCTAGCTAGCCCATGCACTTAAAGTGACAGTCTAGCTAGAAACATATTGTTCCTTCCATAGCCCTACTAGGTTAAGTTACCATCAGCAGAAAGGTCTGCCATTCTAAAGCCCCTAAAAAGAAGCCACATCTAAAGATCATTAAAGTGCAGCATCGGAACCTAGTGAGCCAGCCCAGACGTGGAAATGAGGCCACCGAAGGACTGATACCTTCACCCAGCCACCCTCCAGTGTGCTGCAGCCCACTACAGTATTGTACCGCTGCTCTGTAGATTCCCGCAGGGAAGCCATGACTCTCACTTGGGGAGGGAGACAGAAGCTCAGACGTGTGCGGGACAACCCTTGAGTGCACACAGCAGCAAGTCCTACAGCCGATTATCCAGACTTTTCCTGCTGAATAACAATTTCTCACATGTATTCTAAGCCACATTATTAACTGGTTTGCTCTACCCTCTGGACGTTGTAAAGTTAGCTGGGTCAGGTTCCAAGCATGAAGAGATACGGAGATACGGCTCTTAGAAGGTAGAGAATGTTACACTGAAGTGAGAATAGCTGTGCTTTTTTTGAGTACTCAGGGTATACCAGGCATACACAAATCTGTCCACTTATCTATCATCTCTCTCTATTCATCATCTATTACCTATCAACACACTATCTGTCTTCTACCTATTTAATTGTCTCTCTTTACTTCCTGACCCACTTATCTTTAGAACATCCCTGTGAGGGACACATTGTGAGCTCTCGTTTACTAATGAGAACCATGGGAGGTTAAGCAGGTTACCAAGGCAACCGTGAGTGATCCTGCATGAAAGCAGGTCCAGAACTCACCGCAGCCACATGAGTCAGCCAACACGGGCATTTCACAGGCTGTGTTTGGTGACACATGCTGAAGATGGCTACCTCTCCTCCTCTCTTCCGCTGCCAGCACTCAACACCTAGGTTATCTCTCTGGTGAAATCTCCCCTTTGATGCAGGAAATCCAATCAGCTCTTGGGAGGTTCAGTGTTCTGCTGCTATATAAAAGGCTTTCAGTGTACTTCCCTCCTTCAGCTCAGAAGGATCAACAAGCCAAAAGAGTGTCTCCTGGGGCTCACGTGGGACACAGAATTTAAGAAAATCAAACACCTCACTGGCTGGGGAGGTGGCTCAACCGGTCACGACACTAGTCACACAAGCCTAACAACCTGAGTTCATTCCCAGAAGCCATGGAAAAAGCCGGATGTAGTGGTGCACATCTGTAACACTGGCAGTATTCCTGTTAGAATGGGAGGTAGAATCATCTGAAGCCTGGGAGCCAGCAAACTTGGAATATGCAGCCCAGCAGCAGACACAAGATCCTGCCTCAGGGTTTAACCTCTGACCTCCACTCAGGTCATGACATATGAATTCTCTCCCTCTCTCTCTCTCTCCCTCTCCCTCTCTCCCCCCCCCCCTCTCTTCCTCTCTCTCTCTCTCTCTCTCTCTCACACACACACACACACACACACACATACACACACACACACACACACACACACGAAAATGTATTTCAGTATAATATTTTTGGGAATCAAAATTAGGGCCTGAGTCCCATTCACAGTATTGCATACAAACAAAACCAAAATCCATCTTTGAAAAAAAAAATCTTAAATAAAGATGGTTCCCAACCCTACATTTGCACAACACTCCTCCTCCCTCACTGTGATACCTATTTTATTGATGCTGTCCATAATTATTTACATATTATTTAGCATGTAACTTATACATTAATTTTGCATTTCTTTTTCAAAATTTTATTTGTACAGCATTGCATTTATTTCTTGTAGTGCATGTGAACATACTTGTGTGCACGTACAAGTGTCACAGCATACATGTGGAGGTCAGGACAGCTTGCAGGATCAGTGGGGGCTGGGTCTTGAACTCAGGTTTTCAGGCTTGGCTGCAGAAGCTTTTATTCTCTCAGTCACCTTGCTGGCCCGTTTCTTAAAAGAATAATCTAAAATATCACTTACCTTGCTGACTTATGCTGGTATCCTCGGATGTTACGATAGTTGGGCACTTGCTCCTAGGACTCACCTTACCTGGGAACACGAATGACAGAGTCGCACACACTAGACCTGGTTTTGTGTCCTTTCCCATGTCCTGTCCTCCTGCCTCCTCTTGCAGACGGTTTTGTGCTCTCCCACCAAACAGGTAGACCACGATGTGCACCAGCTACGACTGAGCAGACTGCACCCACACGAAGGTGGAAAACGGGAAGTGTTCTCTGCGTCCCACAGCCGTTAGGAGCACTCCTACTGGCATGCTTTCTCCTTCCCATAGGACACTGTCCATATGCACAGTTGAACACTTTGCCAAGAGGGAAATTCCCTATTGTGGAAACCAAGTCAGTGCTGACCTAGATCTGTCACTGAATCCTCCTGACTGCTCTTCCAATGTGGAACTTGCCAATATTTACAGAACAAACCCGCTCCTCCTGGGATCGACGATCATGTCCCTACAGAAGGGGCTGCCATCGGCCCTGGTCACAGCTTCCTGAGTGACTCCAGTGTGCAGGTGAGGCTGAGACAGTCACTTTTGAGAAAGGCTAACCTTTGTGTTTGCTTGTGGCTCTTCTTGGAGGACATTGCCACTTGGTGCTCCGGAGCCAGAGGGCCCGAGTTTAATCCCCAGCTGACCCACTTCCAGCTTTTAATTAATTAATTATTTTTTTGGTTTTTTGGAGACAGGGTTTCTCTGTATCATTCTGGAGGCTGTCCTGGAACTCCCTCGGTAGACCAGGCTGGCCTCGAACTCAGAGATCAGCCTGCCTCTGCCTCCTGGGTGCTTGGATTAGAGGCCTGCGCCACCAACGCCCGGCTTCAGGTTTGTGATTTCAAAGAACACAGTCGCCTATGGTTTTTCTGTGTCATTCTCCTCCTGAATGCCTATGAAGGAATCAAGCTAAGACACATGAAGCATAATAGCAGGGTGTACCTCTGCACACGTGCACTCATGCAACCCCAACACACCGTTTAAGCCTTGAACATCGGTTATTATGAATCAATTCTAGAAATGGGAAGATGAGGAGCCCAATTAATACTCGGACAGCTGCTCTGAAGCCAGATGATGCCGAGATGCAAGACCGACTTCCCCTTCTGAGTGTTCTGGAGCACTTACAGTTTCTGGAGAACAATTTTGAAAACCTATGGTCTGGGATGCAGGGGCATGATGAAGCCAGTGTGGTTGCCTGGGTTACTCAGAACTGCTCCATGCATTTCCCATCCCTCTTCCGGCATCTGCCAGCCAGCTGGCTGCCTGGGCTCAGGGCCACCGTGTGTCCACAGGAACAAGGAAGGAAGGGCTGGAATAAGCAGCTACCACCTGTCCTGGAAGATGCTCCTACAAAGCCCCAGCCCTCTGGCTGGACAAGTGTCTCCATTTGGGTTGTTAGGTGTGTGGCGGTGGTCAGAATCTTGCACATGGCATGCTTACTTTGCAAGAGGAGAATGGTAAAAGTGCCCTGTGCAGGAAGCTCCTAGGGGCATCCTAGCTTGACAAAGATCACCCTCTATGGGACAGTGACTTAGCACCTTCCACCGGAAACAGATGTGCTTTCTCGGTTTCTTAGGCAGTGTTGATTGTTTTTGCCATACGCTAAACCAACCAATCAAAAACCTCAGCTCAGCTATGAGCCCTCTGCCAGCCTTGGGCTGAATCAGGCTGGGAGACAGCAGGTACATATTTGAGGGCTGAGTGGAGTTGGCTCTGCCTCCAAACTATTCACTGCCGCTGAATTGGCTCTTTCCTTTTTCTGTGGAGAGGCTGATTGGAGTCTTGCTTATGTGTATGGAGTCTCTTCTGCCTCTTTTAATTTTTTCCCACCAACACAGTGTCTTTAATTTCTTTTTCCCCCAATGGGCCATTCTTTAAATCAAGCTAAGAGTTGGACGAACTACTCAACAATGAGAGGATTTGGGTTTTCCTTCTCCTGAGCAGGAGCCCATTTCCGGGCTCGCTTGGGAAGCCAGCTGCCGTTTCCTACTTCCGAGTGTTTAAAGTGTATGCTGCGCGGTCGTTCTTCGTGGATACGGTTTTAGTAAAGCTTGGAGTAGCTGGCTCTTTAACCACAAGCAACAGAAACCAGCTCATGCTGGTTGAAGCTCCAGGGATTTGTCCCAGGATAAAGGAACATGTCATGGGAGCCAGAGAGGAAACGTGGCCAGCTCTGCCTCAGCCTGTCTCTCCTTTTGCCCATGTGCTGCTCCCCCCCGTCTGCTCACAGGCATTTACAGCCTGTCTGTAGGGAGAAATGTCACTGTCACTCAGAGGAAGCACTCATCACTTCCACTCAAGATGTGCTGTGCATGCCTAGAGTCATTCAGTCCCGACTGTCAGGGGAAAAGAATCTGGCTGGCCAGATCCTATCAACTGCAGTGGCTAGTGGCTCCGACAGCCCACGCAAACTCACGTTCCAGATCTGACTCTTGTTTTGACCAGACCTAATTCCCACCCTGTCTGGAATTCTGAAATAAAATTCCTCAGAAGATTCTCACGATAAAGTAGACAAGAGCCACTGAATGCTATCAGTGAATCTTTCTATTAGGACACTGCTTGTTGAGGAAACTTATAGAGCCATGAACAAATAACTCATTTTGTTGCAATTGTACATCAGTGGGAATCCATTCCTAAGAGTGCTGACTGTAGAACCAGTCTAGGAGGCATGTGGGAAGCTGGCTCACTGATGGAGCTAATGTTTCTAACTCATAAAGGCTTCATGCTTCAGACTCTGAGGCCAGAGTTCAAGAACAGGTCTCACCAAGTCAATCTGGCTCCATGACAGCAAGGCAGATGACGCAGGTGTGGGCCAATACAAGCGTCCTGACAGGTTCAGGACTTACGCCCTCACAAGGCAGGCAGGCTGGAATCCCCTGGGAAAATACTACATTAGAGAATCCAGTTGTGTTCACATTCCCATGTTCCCATTTCATTCATTGGCACCTATTTTAGCTGCATGGTGAGCTATTATCCTTTTTCTAGTGTTTACTGGCTTGTTCCTCAAGATTTGGTTTGCATTTCTACTAGAAGTTGCCCTGCTAACAACCTGACCCATCAATCATTGCTTCTGTCCCTCCTAATGTCCTCCGAGTAAGTACTTAACACCATGACTGTAATCACCTTACACTACTTGGTAGTGGTTATCTGGTAATTAAGGGCTAGCAGGGGTTTTGCTTCTACTGAAAAGATGCAGCAGACATGTCTGCGAACCTGCCCACTGGCTTCCTTCCTGTCCCTCACCTTTCCCTTATTCCCACAGTGAGCCACTCTGATTTTGTCAGTATGTCTGACTCTGTTCCAGAATCCAGGTTCACCCACACTCATAGAGAACTTACAAAGCTCTAGAGTCTAGTATGCTGTGCTGTTTGGGACAGCCTTTAGTACCACAATGAATGGTGAAACTGTTTGCTCCTGCCCTACACTGAGATACTCTTGTTAAATCGAGCAATCATTCCCTGGGCATGATTCAGATGTTAGCTCACTGGGCTCCCACAATAACCCTATTAAGTTCTGCAGGAAAGCCGAGAGTTCAGGAAGATTAAGTAACTTGCTGAGGCCACACCACTAGTGTCAGAATCCAGATCAAAATGCAGTCCTGAGCCCAACACCATGCTCTTAAACACTATGCTGCTCTTTGATTGACTCTTGCAACCTGATTTTCGTTGTCAATTAGAGTAAGATAGTTAGCAAGTATTCCCTACTTGAGTATCAAAACCACAATTATTATTGCATGTTACTGGACTGGATATTGGTAAAGTAAAAACGAAGTTAACAACTACTCAGCAATATGCAACCCTTCACATTCAAGATCATTCAAGAAGTAGAAGCCTAAAGAAGTAACTCACACTTGGGGAGTCACAGCTGGAGGACTGGCATGAATCTGAGGTCACAAGTGTTTAAGGACAACCTGGACTACTCAAAAACGATGAGGAGATATACTTAAGCACATGGCCAAGAAAAACACAAGTACAACAGAGGACAGCCCACAAGCAAGTGTTTTACTGCAAACTGGTTCAGAGCCTTGTACAGACAATAGATTACGTGTCAGGGCAATGAAGAGCCAGCAAAGGAGCACAGGCAACGTTAAGCAGGTTCATGTACAGCTCTTGGAAACAAACGCTTGCCTCCAGCTTCAGTAGTTAACAAGCTTTCAGACTAGGCGCAAAGTGCAATAACGCTTAGGCGTTCTGCCCTCGAGTGCCCACAGCATGGAAAGGGAAGTGCCAGCATTTGCAAAGAGCAGGGACCTGGCAGGTTGAAGCAGAAGTGGTATGAGCCAGCCCTGACTTGGCTTTGTGTGTTGCTGGGGATAGAACGGGGAGAGGGAGAGGGAATAGGCATGAGTTGTTTCTTCA